TAACCAGAAGCCTGGTGGTTCAAACCCACCAGCCACTCCTAGGAAGGAAGGTTGGGCAATCTACTTCTGTATTGTTACCACCTTGGAAACCCAAGGAGGGGTTGCTATGAGTTGGTGAGTTTTTTGCTATGGCAGTGAGGTGTTTTTTTTTTTTTTTTTTTGGTAGTAAGTGCTCAGTAAATAATTACTGAATGAATGAATCCGTCCGTCTATCAGTTTTCACTGAACAACCCTTGGGGCTCAATAACCAACATAATGATTTTTAGGAGATGATAAGGAGACTGGTAGAACAAAGTTCTCTGGTGGTACGGTGCCTAAGGCATTTGCCTATTAACCAGAAGGCTGACTTCAAACCCACAAGCAGCTCCACAGAAAGAAGATGGGGCAGTCTACTTCAATAATGATTCACTGCCTCAGAAACCCAACAGGCATCACTATGAGTCAGAATTGACTCGATGGCAGAGTTCGGTTGTTTGGATGGTAGAGCAGGCTTTACCAGTCATACCCACACTGTGCTCAAAACTGATCTCACCTTCCATCTTTAGCTTGTATCTTTATAAGATAAGACAGACTTTAGGTAAATGAGTGTGTCCTCAATAATGTGGGCTCCTCTCCTTTTCAAGGTGGTGATGGCCAGTGACTTTGCAGTGCCAAGATTCCGATATCTGGAGAAACTCTTAATTGTCCATGGACATTGGTGCTATTCTCGACTTGCCAACATGGTGCTATACTTCTTCTACAAGAATACAGTAGGTATTTGACTCTAGTGTTTAGACGTTCTGAGTAGAAAGGGCTAAGGTGTATAGCACCATAGCCTTCATCTGGTCCAGTGGCACCCACAAATCATCCCACTGGCTCATCTGTTTTGTCCTTTGTGAATTTCCCCAGTCCTGGCCTTGCATCTTCTGGACTAGGAGGTCTAGCTTCTTGTCTGTGAGAGGAGCAGCAACTCTGAGGGATAGATTACATTACATGAGGCCATGGTTGTAAGTTGACAAAATCAGAAACTCCACTTCTTACTTGGTAATGAGAAGTGGAGTAATCATGAGGTCCAGCGTTTGTACATGGTTACACAGCCAGTAAGCCATTGAGGACAAATTCAAACCTTATCTGTCTGACTCCACCACCTAAGCACTTAACCACTCTGTGAGTGTGCTTTTCTAGGGTGTACTGCTGGAGTATCCAGAGGCAAGAGTTCTCTAATCTCCCATGTAGACTGGTAACATCAAATAGTGAGGAGAAGTGTGCCTGTGATCCTGTGATCCTGTGATCATTCTGATAAGGGGACTTGGTCACTCCATGATTGTCATGTTTAAAGGTCTCTGTTGAGATACAGCTACACTGGGAGTAGACAGATGAGGCTCAGTTCAGAGAGCTAGCTCTTCCCTTGACTCATTTCCCTTGCCCTTCAGCCCGCTAACTCTGAGGAGAGATTGACCTTCAGTTAGATCACCCTGTCTATAGTTGTCTTACTAGGGACTTTGAATAAATGAATAATTTGAATAAATAAAGCACCTTTTGTGTTGGTCTTTATGTATAACTCTCCACTCCTTCAGTACCAAATCCTGGACAGACAGATAAATGTTCTGCTGAGAAGCTGCTGGGTTGCTTGGCTTCTGCCTCCTCTGACAGCTTGCAGTTGAATGCAAAGGAGAGAGAATAAAGTCATGCAGTAAGTGGCCTCTCAGGATAGTCCCATCAATCTAGCCTTTCATATGGCAGAGTGACAATGTCAAGATCCTCCTGTCCTCCTCTAAAATATAATGAAGTAAAATATACTCAAAGAAATGTTCTTTTTTCTAACTCCATTTACAAATCTACATGCTAGCCCCAAACTGCCATTGAACAGCTCTTGTTTATGTTCCCCACATTTTCTTCTGCAGACTTCACCTCCCTTCCTCCTCTTCTCCTTTCCCACTCCCTTACTCTCACCCATTTTTCCAATTATCTTCTAGCAAATAAATACAGAAATGCGGGGCCAATCAGGTGTGTCTAATTTGATATGTTTGGTCCTGGAGTTAACTCAGATTAGGTTCTGCATGGTACATGTGGTGGTTATATTTTTGTGTCAACTTGGCTGGGCCTGGTTGAGTGGCTGGGCAGCTGGTTGTAGTTGTTCCCCATGATGAGACTGGCAATCAACTCCATGATGGGATCTACCATAAGCAGCTGAGTAGTTGCCTTTGGGATGTGGTCTGCTTCCTGTATATAAGGAGAAGCCTTGGGAATGGTCTCTAGGCTATGGCATGCTTGGACCCTGCGTGTAGCTGTGTCATTGCTCAGCAGCCTGCTATGTTCTGCCAACCTTGGGACTTACAATGGACTTAAGTTAATGGCCTGCTGTGTGGTTTGGTAACATCGGGACTGTGCCTTTTTATTTGTCAACCTTGGGGCTTCTCAGCCTCAGCAGCCAGCAGCTGTCTGAGGGAAGAAACGCCTCTAGCTCCAGTGGGCCAGGAGCAGGAGGCAGAGCTAGACCCCAAGGTTGAGGGGCTTTCACCCAGCCCCTGGAGCCTGGTACTTGGAACTTGGACTTAAAGCCTCCAAATTGTAAGAATAACTCCTGTTTGTGAAGGATATCCCATTTGTGGTATATTTCTTGTCAGAGTGGCACTAGGTAACCAGAACAGTACATATCCCAGGAAGGCTGGGCCAGGCTGCCCTGTCCTTGCACATTATCTCCTCCCTCCCTCCAGCCACCAGGTACCCTGTGCTTCATGTTGTGGGCCTGTGCACACAATTGCAAATTTGAGATCTCCAAATTTGAGATCCTGAAGGAGTGGATGGTGCTTTGCCTAAAGGAAAGCTGAATAAGGACTAGGCCACAGGCTTGTCTCTCTTACATGAAACTAATGAGCTGTGCTTCTGGAGCAAGTTAACTGATTTCTCTGAGTTTTGTTTTCTTTATCAGAAAAAAAAAGCATGGGAGTTGAGCTAGCTTATCTCTGTAGTTCTTATTAAAATTTCTCAAATTGAGGGGATGACAAAAATGATGTAGGCTGAATCATTCACATTTGCATTGCAAATGAAAGTCAAATAGATCCCCTTGAGTGGGCAAAATTCCCTGCCAACCAGGATGGATCTGGCCTCATTGGAGAAGACCAGAAAGAGAAAGAAGTGCCCACATGTGTTCCATATGAAATGGAGGGCCTTTTGTTGACATGAACTTCATGAATGTACTCCAGGAGGTGTTCAAATATACTTTGCCTCCTGAATGAGAAAATCATTAGCTTTAGGAATAGGCTGGCTTTCCTTTCCATTAACAAGTAGAGAAGGAAAGTTTCTCTAATAATAGTGGTTTGAAAAGAAGGCTTTTTTGTACCACAGAAAAAAGTCAAGTGTCTTTCCTCCTCTTTGTCTTAACTTCTTTGCTCACAGATGACTCATGAGGTCACATATGGTCAGAGTAGGTACAAGAAAGTCTGAAAAGGAGAGACAAGTGCAAAAAGGTCAGTGAAAGATCCAGGCCCATCAGCATTCTGGAGGAGAAAGTGACATATTGACAGATTTAAGTCATCCATTGAAGCAGGCTTTGGAGTATAGATATCATTTTAAGTCATGTAAATACAGAACATCCATCACATCTTCTGGTCTTCACTACAAGCCATTTTCACATCAGGAAACAGAAGCTCAGAAAGGCTGAAGCAATGGTTCAAAGTCAAAAAGGCAGATTGTAGCAGCTCCTGAGCCAAAATCCAGGCCTATGTTGACCCAGCAGAGAATATTTTTCCATCATACCATGTCCTTTCTTGGGACTGTCCATGTCCTCCAGGCTGGGACTACCACATACCCATCTGTGGTTGAGTATGTTGGAGTTATCATGCCAATCGTGACGATAGGCAAGCCGTTTAACATCTTGGAGTTTTCACTTCTTTTTCTCTAAATGAAATATGAGTGCTGCCTCTGCTTGAAATAAATAGCACTACTACTAACAAGAGCAAACCACAGGTGAGCACCTGCACTGTGCCAGAAACTATTGTGAGTATTATTTACTCCTTGCACCAGTCCCCTAGGTCAGTATCATTGGTATACTCATTTCATGAGAAAGGAAACTGAGGCAGAGAAGGGTTAAATGACCTGTACGAAACAAGTGGCAATCTGCTTCCATAGTGATAATGCCTCGGAAACCTGAGAAGAGGTCACTATGACTCAGGTCCGACTCAACAGCTTATAACAACAACAACAACAAGTCAAGTACCTGATAAGTGTAAAGCTTTACAGTCAGTAAATTGCGATGTCTTATGTAAATACACCTGACCACTGATAGTCAAAGATTTAGTAATAGCAGAAAGAGATCTGGCTCAGCTCCTGCTACAGTGCATGGGCCTTTAAGAGGATGCTCAACCTCCCTGAACCTCACTTTTCTCTTCAGCAGAGGCAGCCCAGTGAGCTAGCTGTAAGGATAAGAGATAATACCTAGAACTCCTTCACCTAGAGCGCTCAGCGAACAACCAGAGTTGGGTCAAGGCATGGGTGTTGTGGTTGCTGACTTTACTGCCACCCTATGTGCACCATCCCACATATGGGAATCAGTAATCTTCCAGTGTTTCTCCTAGGGAACATTACATTTAAAGAAGGGAGATGGGATCAAGGGTGCAGCCACAGGCAGTATTGTAGTCATGATTGGGATGATAAATCCAACATACTTAACCACAGATGGGTATCTGGTAGTCCTAGCCCGGACTTAAGGTCACAGCAGAGATGGGGTGCTAGAGAAGAAGCCTCAGGCTCAAGGTGTTGGCATGCCCTTCTGGCCCTCTTGAAATGGGAGAAGCATAGACCTCCTGCTAGACTTTCATTTTGTTTACTTTTGTTTTGGATCAGTGATATGCAGCTCTTCAGGCACAAATTCTCATCCTTCCAAAGGGGGATGCTGGGAGTTTCCAACTCCCATTGCCAGATTTTCTGTGTAAGGGAATCAGAAGTGAGGATGGGAGGAAGAGGAAGAGGACAATAGCTAGGCTCAAGTTAGGGCTGCCTTTGGAAAAGTTGAAAGGATGTATTATTTGTTGTGTATATTTTTACACAAAAAAAAAAAAATTAAAAAATACCAAGTTCAACAACCACAAAAAAAGCTAGAGAATAAATGAAAAAATAAAATTTTTAATTGTTACAGTGAAACTCTGGAGAGCCCTTCTATTCCTTGGATCAGGATCTGCAAGGGCAAATGAAGGCACATGTCTGGTTCTCCTTCTTAACTGGAGCTTGCTCCTTTCTTGATTCCAGATGTTCGTGGGCCTCCTATTTTGGTTCCAGTTTTACTGTGGATTCTCTGCATCTGCGATGATTGACCAGTGGTATCTCATATTCTTTAATCTGCTCTTCTCCTCACTCCCCCAGCTCGTGACTGGGGTGCTAGACAAGGATGTGCCAGCTGACATGCTGCTGGCTGAGCCGCACCTCTACCAGAGTGGCCAGAACAGAGAGGTAAGTGCTCCCTGTGTGCCTAGTAAATGGTGAACATTCTAGAACCTGACTTGTGGTAGGAACAAATCCTGCTTTCTGGAGTCCTAGTGCACTAAATGAACTCAAGTAAAACCATCTTTACCCATAGTCCAATAGGAATCCAGCCTAGCACCAAAACCAAACTCACCACCATCTAGACAGATCCCACTCATAGCGACTCCTCCTTGGCAATGTCACTACAGAAGTACATTGCCCAACCTTCCTTTGAAGGAGCCCAGTGGAGTCTCAATCAGGGTCAAATGTGAGCTCCAGCCAGAGAAGGGACTTTGCGAAACAAAGCAATTTACTTTATTTTAAGAGCTTGTTTTACATTCAACGTCACACGTACATTTAATTTCATTCCTCACTCGCCATGTCCAACACTAACCCAGTCTCCTCCCCTCCCTGTCCTGCAACCCTCTCCCTGTGCCCCTTATAATTATGCACTCCTGTTTGTCCTGCATTTCCTCAATTCTAATGTTGGTCCTGTGGTGTCCCATGGTCTATTGCTCTAAGAGATGTATTACCATTGAGTGTGTGGATGCAGCATCCTGGGTTGAGTGGTCTGCGTGTACATCTTGTTAACTATTGGGCTGAGAGCCCACGCCTGGGGGTGAGTTTTATTCCAGGCGTCGAACGTATTTCAGGGCCATGGTACTGGGAGTCTCACCAGATTTCATCTGACCAGTAATTCTGGTCATTATTGAGTTTTTGGATTTTGTTCCACGTTTTCCCTCCCACTCTATCCAGGATCTCCAGATTTGATTCTTTCCTGAGTGGTTGGCATTGGTAGCCAGGCACCATCCAATTCTTCTGGTCTCAAGGGCCATCTTGTCCTAGGGCTGATTGCTTCTAAATGCCCTTGGTTTTTGCATTCTTCTTCACTTCTGATGCTAGGAGACCATTAGATGCATTTTAGATGGCTGCTTGAAAGCTTTTAAGACCCCAGTCACTACTCACCAATGTAAGATATGGAGCAATGCTATTATGTATTTTGTTGTACCAATTGAGTCTGAGTGTCCCCCAGTACTATGGTCCTGAGGTAGTAGATCTATTGGATTTCTCTCCCACAGTGTCGGGATGTCCTGTGACATCTTACAATTGTTGATATGTTTGAGTCCAACTGTTGTGGCTATTGTGTCAATCCATACTCTGTGTCTGTCTTCTGTTGTTTCTGTAAGGACTGCAGGTATTTTGTATCACTGATGTCTGTGCAAGATAAGCCTCAGCTGAGTCTGTCCTTGGTCTAGAGTATACCTCTATTCACTGACCCCTGTCTGATCATCTCAGGTGTTTATGTGTTTATCTGTATAGCCTAGTGTTTGGTGTTAATGGCAATGTGGTATTGTGGACACATTGGCTGGTTTTAGCATCTGTCGTCTTTGTCTTATGTGCACAGTTTGGTGTCCTCTCATTTCCCAATGTTATCGTGGTGGTCATAATCCTTCCCGTATATCTCTTCCCCTACCCATGTCAGCATGTAAGCCCCAACTAGCCCTAAATTAATCCCTCCCATTCCCTCCCCATCCTGGTAACCTACTAGGTGAGTTCCCTTTACCAAGCAAACCCTTCTCTGTCTTTTTACAATAATGGGCTCATACACTACTTGTCCTTCTGTGATTGACTTATTTCACTCAGCATAATGTCCTCCACGTTCATCCACATTGCGAGGTGATTCGCATATCCCTCGTTGTTCTTTAATGTGGCATAGTATTGCATTGTGTGGATATACCGTAATTTGGTTATCCATTCATCCGCTGATGGGCATTTGGGTTGTTTCTATCTCTTTGCTATGGTTAATTGTGCTGCAATGAACATAGGTGTACATATGTCTGTTTGTGTGCTATTTCTCACCTCTTTAGGATATATTCCCAGTAATGGAATTGCTGGGTCAAATGGTACTTCTATTTTCAGTTTTTTAAGGAAACGCCATACCGTCTGACACATTGGTTGTACCATTTTACAATCCCACCAGCAGTGCACAAGAGTTCTAATCTCTCCACAACCCCACCAGCATTTGTTCTGATCTGTTGAACTTTGCTATTATTGCTGGGGTGAGATGATATCTCATTGTTGTTTTGATTTGCATCTCTCTAATGATTAATGATCGTGAGCAATTTCTCAAGTGTTTCTTGGCTGCTTGTATATCTTCTTTGGTGAAGTGTCTGTTCAAAGAATTTATTTTGAATGTGAGTTAACAAGAAGATAAGTCTGTAGTAAAACTAATGAAGGAAATGAATATAAACAGATGTAATTCTATGTTAACACCAAATAGATTGATAAATTACCAACCAATCTCAACTGGTCACTAAAGTAACCCCTCCATGTTTCCTTTGGCTGGTTTGAGTTATTTTGTGTATGTGTAAAGAGAATGGAGCCCTTTTTCCTTAGAGTCAACTCTGATTTAGAATGTGTTTACTTAAGGGTGGACTTCCCAAGTCCACTGTCCACCTCTATAGGGTTTTCACAGAAGTGGGCAAAATGTTATGGGGGGATTTTTGGTTAGGCAAAGGAGGGCTGCTGCTCACTACAAGTTGCCTCCCCACAGCAGAGTTAACTACCTAACAAGATTAGCCTATGGTATGCACAGGCTAAGTCACCCCTGTAGGAGTCTAGATGATCATCAGGAAATCCCTAGCCAGATTAGGAAATACCTGTCCTGCCCCCTTCTCCTTACCTTCCTGCCAGGGCCTGCCAGGTATATAGGACTTAACTAGTTCTTAAGGAATGCCTGATTTCATGAATATAAATTTGTGTCCCAGGTCATGAAGACTCTATTAATCTATATCAAGGTTACTTTGCCTATAGTATACAGCTTTTGTTATTTTAACAGTAGGCCTCATCCAGTTATGAAAATTGTTAGTTGCTCTCAACTCAGCTCTTACCTCATGACAACCTTATGTATAATAGAACAAAGTGTTGCCCAGTCCTGGGCCATCTTATGATTATTGGTATGTTTGAGTCCACTGTTGTGGCTATTGTGTCAATCCATTCCACAATCCCTTGAATTCAGTGACCCTCCAGTTTACCAGATATGATGTCATTTCCTAGTGGTTGGTCTTTCCTTATGATGTATCCAAAGTAAGCCAATTGAAGTCTTCCTATCCTCACTGCTAAAGAGCATTCTGGTTGTATTTCTTCTAAGACTGATTTGTTTATTCTTCTATCAGTCTATGGTGTAGTTAGTATTGTTCACTGACACCACAATTCAAATGCATTAATTCTTCTGTCATCTTGTTCATAGTCCATTTTTCTCATGCTTATGCAGGGCTGAAATTGGGGGAAGAATGCCCCAAATTTTAGGAAATCTATATCCCTCATGGGATCTAGAAGGTAGTTTCACCTTTTCATTGTTGGCATAGATGTATTACAGCTGGTCTTGTTGAAACAAATGCTCCTAATGAATTACTCTACCAACCAATTATTCTGCAAGTATTTGTTGTATTATTTTTTCCACCTAGGTCTGTGGCACCTGACCTCTCCAAAAGTATTGAAATAGCACATTTTCCTAACATACATGAAATGTGCATTAATGGCTATAGCCTATTGGACAAAGTTATGGGAAGAGATATGGACCTCCCTGTAACCTCCTTGCTTGTTTTGTGTCCCAGGAATACCGGCCACGTGCATTCTGGATAAACATGGCCGATGCGACCTTTCAGAGCCTAGTTTGCTTTTTCATTCCTTACTTGGTAAGTTGGCAAGTGAGCACTCATCCTGTCTGCTGTGGCAGAGAACCACAGACACGAGGCACTGCTGTCTTTCAGGCCTACTACGACTCGGATATAGACATGTTTACCTGGGGCACCCCCATCACAGTTATTGCACTGCTCACCTTCCTGCTTCACCTGAGCATCGAAACGAAAACCTGGGTAAGAGTACAGGTGTGGGTTCATCTCAGGAACGCACAAGACTGCTGACCAACATTTCCTTGCAGATTCCATAATATCTAGAAGGTTTTAAGCAGAAGGGAGACTGCAAAGCCAGCCTCACTCTGTGATAGGAGGGAAAAGGGAGCCACCAGCCAGGAACACATATCTGAGCCTCTCATGTGGGAGATGCCTAGTGCCTCACCCCACACTTCCCCCGGATTTTTCTTAAAATGCCAGTTGCTACAGAATTGACATAGACCCGTGGCAGTCCCTTGTGTGTCAGAGCAGAACTGCGCTCCACAGAATTTACCATTGCTGGTTTTTCAGAAGCAGATTACCAAGTCTTTCTTCAGAGGCACCTCAGGGTAGACTCAAACTTCCAACTTTTGGTTAGCAGCTAAAGAAAGGCATTAACCATTTGCACCTCCCAAGGACTCCAGACATTACTTATCTTCCTCCCATCTGCACCTCATTTTCTCTCTCTTTCTCAGAAACCTCTTCCACCAGTACAGCCACCCCTCCCCATGACTTCCTTTTCTCAATCTGTGTCACATGTGGGTAAACAGATTTCTGAGACTTTACTCACTAAACCCAACCTCAGTGCTGAAGACCTTTGTTCTAAGTTTTAGAATGTCAAACCTACCTGTGAATGATTTATATACATTTTTATTGTTGATGTTATTGTTACTTTCAAGTTTTCAAGTTGAAATTAAAATAAAAACCTTTTCTTTCTTTCTCCCTCAGACCTGGTTCAACTGGATAGCTTGTGGCTTCAGTATCCTTTTATTTTTCATTGTGGCTTTGATTTACAATGATTCTTGTGCAACGTGTTATCCTCCATCTAACCCTTATTGGACTATGCAAACATTAATGGGCGACCCCGTGTTTTACTTGACTTGTATCATAGCACCTGTGGCTGCACTCCTGCCCAGGTGGGTACCAAGGAGGATATCCCCAAGTCCTAAGTGAGCTCAGAGAGCATTTCATGTTTGTGCCTTTATACTATGTGACTCTTGGGAACTCAAAGGCCCCACCCACAGCAATATCTGACTTTTTCTGTGTGCTCTTTCCAGATTATTTTTCAAAGCCCTCCAGGGGACACTTTTCCCCACCCAACTCCACCTGGGTCGCCAGTTGGCCAAGAAGTCCCCCAAGAAACCCAGCACTCCCAAAGACATCTTTGCTCAGGTACCGCTCTCAAGAGAAGAGAGGAGAAACAGCAGCTCTAAAGCCCTCTCCCAGGACAGTGCCTCCCAGGACTTAGGTTCTGTGAATGAGGACGAGGCAGTAAGTGGGAAGTATGGTGTGGTGTTCACAAGCACGCGGCCCAGGAGGATGCCTTCCCATGAGGACAGCCTGCTGGAGGCACTAAGCAGCCAGCCACAGGGGTCCTGTATGCTGGAAGAGGCTGCTCAGGAATCTAAGATGAAACACACCAGCATAAGCGGGGCAACTCCTCTGCCTCCGATCTTCAACCTGCCCAACCTCAGCTTGCTCAATTGGATTTCCTCCCTGTCACTGGTCAGTGGGCTGGGAAGTGTATTGCAATTCTCTCAAAGTAGTTTACAAGTGGATAAGCAGGATGGCGAATGTCTTCCCAGCCCTTCTCAGCCCACTTGCGAGCTGCACACTCTAAGGGGACAGACAGCCAAATCCTTCTAGGAAACATTGACATGACTTTTTTATATCAGATGTTAATACTATTTATGTTTATTATTTGCACAGAAGTATTCTAGTTAAATGTATTTTAAATATTTCCAAGACTGAAATGGAAAAAAAGAGGTACCAAAGATAGAAAGTTTATTTTTTAATGTTTAAGTATTGAAAAGAGAAAAAGAGCTTTAACATACATAAAAGTATAAAGAAGAATGACACATGAAAAGTGTTTAAGTTATTTTTTCATTTCTATTTTATAAGAAAATGGAATATGATTGTTTTCTTCAAAATGAATGACCTTTGTTTTTACTAAAGTGTGACTATGTGAGTGAGCATCAGGAAGTCTGGGTAGGTGTAGCCAGCGAAGAGGAGATAGTAATGGGGAGCACATAGTTCCCAGAGGTAGATTTCACCCTCTTTTTCTGATCAAATTGTGTGGGAAAGTTGTTGCTCCACCTTCAACCAGAAAAAGGATATGCCACCTCAAGGAAAAATATATGTGATGTGCATTTCAACTCTTGATTCTATGCAGGCATTTCACAATGATCTACTTGTCTGGATTCCAGTCCCTATATAGTATTTTTGCCTGTTAAAACCATAGCAAGCAATAAACAATTTTTACTTTGCAAAAAGTGTGTTTGGCAGCTGCTGTTATGAGAAATTATTAGTTTATGACCTAATAGATTGTATTATGACCAAGGCAGGACATGTCCTTATGTGAACACTTTTAGACACTATGAAGAACACAGCCTCATGAAGTACAAGCTGTATCACAGGACAGCAGGCTACATATCATGCCTTGTACCAGCTCATCTGTCCTAACCAGACCCTGTCCACCAAGTGTTCAGTCTTGTCAAGTGTGAGTCTTACGGCATCTAATTTTATGAGCCATTATTTCTGCCACTGTAACAAGGGGAAAAATACTAAAAATCAAAGACAATTGGCTAACTTTTCCTTCCAGAGCCCTCTCTTTCCAGTTTGTTAATCAGTGATCATTTGCCCACTCTGCCAGGCATGTCAAGAGGACAAGTTCCCTGAAGCATGGGTACACGGTGTCTGAGGCTGCCTGTTCTAAGAACAGCAATAGAGACAGAGAGGACTCTGAGGACTAATAAATATACTTTCCATGGAAGAATCATCAAGTATCCATGGCGTGATATCACTGCAAGGTACAGAAAAGGTTCCTCATCTCAGTCATATGAGGCAGGTGCAGATTTACTGACTATAAGTCAGAGATTGGTTGGCCTCAGGGTGGTGGGATTCAGCAACTTAGGTTTTTCTCCTGTTCCTCTCCCCAAGCTCCTAGTCAGTGTATCATAAGTTTGGCTCTGATTTTGGTGAGTCAGTGTCTGGAGTCCTTTCAGAACAGGCATCTACCCCAGTGCATCCAAGAAAGTGGGCATCTCTCCACATTCCAGGCTAAGCCCTGATTTCCTTAGCTCCATCCTATGTAGATTACAGAACAGCTTTAGAACCAGGCTCTTGCAAGTCAAGGGGAAGGTCCAGACTTTAGCTCTAGCTGGAGTTGGGTTGACCTCCAAGGACGATCTGGATTTTCTGTGAGGTGGGGCAGAGAGGAGAGAGGAAGACACCTGGCTTCAATACCCAGCACTTCCCAATTCTGCCCTGCCCCCTGTACTGGAACACCAAGCAGGCCCCCTTGTCTATCATTGTATCAACATATAGGAAGAGGATTTCTTTGGAAAGGCACATAAATCTAATGTTTTCTAAATTAAGGCAATGATTGTCAGCAAAAAGTTAAAAAAAAAAAAAAAAAAACTTATAAGCACATTTTCCTAAGTATCTGAGAGTTTAAAATGTGCCAGCTTCCAGATTTTCTACTTCCTGTACTCACAGTCTGGGAGCTCTGGTGGCATAGTGCCTAAGGCATTTGCTAACCAGAAGGCTGGCAGTTCAAACCCACCAGCCACTCCTTGGAAGGAAAGTCGGGCAGTCTACTTCCGTAGTGATATACCACCTTGGAAACCCAAGGAGGAGTTGCTATGAGTCAGATCCAGCTCAACAGCAGTGAATTTTATTTGGTTTTTATTAGTACTCACAATGTAAAATCTTGCCAAATGACATCTTCCTCTATAGATAAATACTTCCTTTTGGGAATGGGAATGACCCAGGAAGTGCCTTCTGGAATATGTATACCAAAGCCAGTTCCGAGAAATAAAAATTATAAAGGGCATTGGCTATCAGCTGCTCTTTAGGATGACGACTGAAATAATAATCCATCATAACCAACTAAGTGATGCAAAATGAACATAATATAGAAATAAACATCTATGAGTATCTCACAAAAATTGCATAAAATATATTTCCTATTCTAACAACAACTCTAAAATAAATAGGAATAGAGTAATAATTGTTTGTCATTGTATAGTATGTTTATTTCAAACCCCAAACCAGTTAATTATTGCTCCTTGGAGGTTGAGTATTGTACCATTTCAGCCTGTATCCAAAGCAGTAAGCACAGAAACACTTAGAACATATTTAATATATATTTGATAAATCTAAGAAAAAATGCTAATAATGAAATATTAAAGACATTTCTTGTTACAATCTAGGTAAAAAGAAATTGCTTATTATAACCTATTATTTAATACCTTCCTGGATAATGCAATAAGACATAAATGTTTAAAGAAATGAATATTGGAATGTTAGAGACTAAATTATTACTTATGATCATATACATGGAGAACTCAAAAAATTACAAAGCTCTCAGAACTAGTAAGATAATGCAGTTATTTGACTATAAAGAAAACAAATCATAGCTTTCCTGTGTTGTTGTTGTTGTTGTTGTTTGCCGTCGAGTCGGCCCCGACTCATAGCGACCCCTCCTTGGGTTTCCGAGGCAGTATCACTACGGAAGTAGGATTGCCCAACCTTCCTTCCGAGGAGTGGCTGGTGGGTTTGAACCGCCAGCCTTCTGGTGAGCAGTCAAGTGCCTTAGGCACTATGCTACCAGAGCTCCTAGCTTTCCTGTAGAGCAGTGATAATCAATAAGTGGAAATGGGAATGAGGAGAAAAGATCCCATTCATCAGTACGACACCAACTCTAACAAAAATTAACATGCCTAAGACTAATATCAGTATGTATAAAAACAGCTTACCAGAACTTAAGAACATATTAACAAAGTCATGACTACAAAGACTACCTTGTTTCTATACCAGAAAATTAAATATTGTAAAGGCACTCCATTCAAAACAACTTCTGCAACCTTTTTTTCTTTTTTTCAGTTCTTTGTCATTTCTTGCATATATTTTGCTTCATTTTTATTATTAAAATTAGAGAAATGATTCTAGAGTTCATGTGGAAAGATATATAGTTGAAATTGCCAAATAAAACTCTAACATAATAATAAAAGAAAGGCCAAATAGTAAAATATTTTATAAAGTGCTAATACTTAAAATAGTGTAATAATAATTCAGGAAAATATAATAAACAGAACAGACTAGAAATGACAAAGTTGTATCCTGTATAAGAATTGAATATATGCTAAGAAATGCATCGAGTTTCAATGAAAAATAAATACTCTTCTCCAAATTATATTGGTATCAAGTCCATAATGTGGAAAACAATTCATTCTTTGCTCATGTTGTTGTTGTTGTTAGGTGCCCATTGAGTCATCTCCAACTCATAGAGAAGCTGTGTGCAGCAGAACTTAACACTATACCAGAGACCATCACTGTAGCTTGAGGGCCTTCCCCTTCTTTGCTGACCCTCCACTTTACCAAGCATGATATCCTCCAGGGAATGGTCCCTTCTTACAACATGACCAAAGTAGGTGAGATGAAATCTGGCCATTCCCACTTTCAAAGGAGCATTCCAGCTGCAGCTCTTCCAGGACAGACTTTTTAGTCCTTTTAGCAGACCATGGTACTCTTAGCATTCTTCTCCAACACAACAACTGAAAAGCATCAATTCTCTTTCAGTCTTCCTTATTCATTGTCCAGTTCTCACATGCATAAGAAATATGAAAATACTATAGTGCACCTTAGTCTTCAAGGAGACATCTTTGCTGTTCAGCACTTGAAAGAGGTCTTTTGCAGCAGGTTCACCCAATGAGATACATTGCCTGTTGCCTTGCTTGCTGCTTCCATTGGTGTTGATTGTAGAACCAAGTAATATGAAGTCCTTGACAACTTCAGTCTTTTCTCTATTTATTGTGAATTTGTTTATTGGACGGGTTGTGAGGATTTTTGTTTTATTTTGAAGTGTAATTCATACTGCGACTGTACTCTTCAATCTTCATCAGTAAGTTCTTCAATTGCTTACTTTCAGCAAGCAAAGTTGTGTTATCAGCATATTACAGGTTGTGTTAATGAGTCTTCCTCCAATTCTGATGCCATGTTGTTCTTCATATCATCCGGCTTCTCGGAATATTTCTCTGCATACAGATTGAATAAGTATGGTGAAAGGATACAACCCTGACACACTCCCTTCTTGATTTTAAACCATGCAGTGTCCCCTTGTTCCATTCAAACAATAGTCTATGTACAGGTTCCTCATGAGTACAATTAAGTGTTCTGGAATTCCCATTCTTCTCAATGTTACCCATAATTTGTTATGATCCACACAACCGAATGCTTTTGCTTAGTCAATAAAACACAAGTAAACATCTTTCTAGTATTTTTTGCTGTCAGCCAAGATCCATCTGACATCAGCAATGAGATCTCTCATTCCATGTCCTCTTCTGAATCCAGTTTGCATTTCTGGGAATTCTCTGTCAATATACTGCTGCAACTGTTTTTGAATTATCTTCAGAAAAATATTACTTGCATGTGATATTAATGATATTGTTCAATAATTTCCACATTCTGTGGGTCCCCTTTCTTTGGAATGGGTACAAATACGGATCTCTTCCATTCAGTTGGCAAAGTAGCTGTCTTCCAAATCTCTTGTCATAGCCAAGTGAATGCCTCCAGTGTGGCATCCATTTGTTGAAACATCACAATGGGTATTTCTTCAATTCCTGGAGCCTTGTTTTCTGTCATTT